AAACTGCGCACCGCATAACTTAAACCACAGACTGCACCACACACGTTGCATAATATAGATCGCTCAGCACATGTTGCACCACTTACGTTGCACGATGCAGGTTGCACCAGATGGATCGTTTAACGCCACATAGATTCCACCGCATGGGTTTTCGTTTCTAACAAGAAAATAGACTCCCCCCCCCGGCGTTATCGGTCCCCCTTTCGGGTATGTGAATCACATATGATTATGACCACATGTCCATCCTGATTATGAATTTACACTATCCCCGGGGGGCCGGCTTCCCCCCCGTGAGGTTTTTTTTTCTATAAAAAACACTATGCGGTGACATATTTTGTTCTAACATAACACTTTATCACGAATCTCTGGCGAAAGTGGGACGAAGTGCGCACGCGCGCGTCGTCGCGCGCGCATGCCGAAATCCTTCAAACAAGATCGGTGCCGGAAGGATTTCGCAATCGAGTTCTTTTGTTTTTTTTTATATATAAAAAATACAACAACACAGGGATTCGTAACACTGATTTGCTAAAAAAGCTTCCGCGCGAGCTCTTGCGAAATCTTAAGAAAACCATTTGTTGTTCAAGATCTTCGCAAAATGCTACCAAACGGGCGTCGCGAGCGCATGCCGAAATCTGTCGAACGCCCTTGCGCGTGTGCCGTCGCGAGAGTCCTCTGCACAAAATAGACGAAGTGCAGACGCGCGCGTCGTCGCGCGCGTATGCCGAAATCCTTCAAAACCCATCGGTTTCGGAAGGATTTCAAAATCGTGTGTCCAAAAAACCTACAAAAACACAAGGTCCGCCAAGCGAATTTTCAACAAAAGCGAGCGCGCGCGCTCTTGCGTCGTCGTCGACGTCGTCGTCGTCGTCGTCGTCCTCCCTCTTCCCGCATCGTCGTCGTCGTCGTCGCCTACGTCGTCCTCTGTCTTTCTTCGTGGTCGTCGTCGTCGTCCTCTTTGGCGTCGTGGTCGTTTCCGTCGTCATTGTCGCCGTGGTCGTCCCTCCTCCTCCTTTTCCCTCGTCGTCGTCGTCCGTAGTCGGCGTCTCGTCGTCGTCCCTCCTATTTCGTCGCCGTCGTCGTCGTCGTCGTCGTTGTCGTCGTCGTCTTTGTCTCCCCTCCTCCCTCGTCGTTGTCGTCGTCGGCGTCGCCGTCCTTCCTCCTTCTTCGTCGTTCGCGTCGTCGCCGTCCTCCCTCCTCCCTCGTCGTTGTCGTCGTTGTCGTCGTTGTCGCCGTCGTCGTCCTTCCTCCTCCCTCGTCGTCGTCTTCGTTGGCGTCGTCGTCGTCTTCGTCGGCGTCGGCGTCGGCGTCGTTGTCGTTGTCGAAGTCGTCGGAGACGTCGTCGGTGTCGTCGTAGTCGTTGTCGTCGGTGTCGTCGTAGTCGGTCTTAAGAGGTTTTGCAAACCAAGTTGCGGGTGGGTTGGTGGGATGTTTGCAAGAGCGTGGGATGTGTCAAATCATGGGTAAGAATCAGTTACACAACATTGATTGACCAAATCGATCGCACCATACATATTGCGCCTCATGCGTTGCACAAGTTAGATTACACAGCACAGGTTGCACCACGTATATTCTGCAACAACAACAACAATCCAATGTAAATAGATTGCGCACCGCTTATACAGATCTGAATGTAGATTGCACCACATAAATTGCAGAACGTCGGTTGGTTGCAACATCTATACATGCATGTGTTTGAAGCAGGACGGTTGGGGCCCACGATAGCCAATACATCAGAGTGAGGGGGCCGAACTGTCATTCATTGTCCCTGGGTGCGTGGCTGAAGTGGAAATCCGTGATGAGGATTCTGCTTGTTGCGTTGTTGTTGCGTTGTTGTTGTTGTTGGTGTTGTTGACTATTAATTACTAAACAGTTATAATTGTTGGACCCCCCCCGGGCGTTTTGGCGCTCTCGCTGGCTACATTTTCATTGAAAATGAGGCTCACGCTCGAGCGGTTTGGGGGGCACCAAAACGGGCCCCCCCCTAACAACAACAACGCTCCCGCTCGAGACTTCCTCTTTTTCACCCAGAGCTGGTGCTCTTGTTCGCCGCCGAAAGCCGCCGTCCCAACAAAACCAACGCTCCCGCTCGAGACTTTTTCCCGTTATACCATGGATTGGCGCGCTACTCTTTCTCTCATCGGCGCCGCCCCCAGCAAGAACAACGCTCCCGCTCGAGACCTCCTTCTTTTATTCAAAGCCGGTGCTCTTGCTCGCAACGAAAACCGCCGCCCAAAGAAACCCAACGCTCCCGCCCGAGACTTCCTCCCGTTTTACGCTGGACTGGCGCCCAACTCTCTTTTGAATTGGCGCCGCCCCCAGCAAGAACAACGCTCCCGCTCGAGGTTTCCTTTTTTTCCTGAAGACGGAGCTGTTCCTCGCCGCCGACAGCCCCCGTCCCGACAAAACCGCGGCTCCCGTTCGAGACTTCTTTCTTACTCAAGGCGGTGTTCCTCCTCGCCGCCGACAGCCGCCGTCCCAACAGAACCAGCGTTCCCGCTTGAGACTTCGTGTTGTTTCACGCTGGACTAGCGCCCTACTCTCTTCTGCATTGGCGCCGCTCCCAGCAGCAGCAGCAGCCCTGCTCGAGACTTCCTCCATTTCTATTCAGGGCCAGGTCCTTGCCTCGCCGCCGACAGTGCCATCCCCACCAAGCCAATCCTGTCGCTCGATACTTGCGTGTGCTTTAACCTTGGCTGGGGCTCGCATCGGCGCAGTAAGGCGCGGGCATATGTTTTCGAGGCGGGATCTGTTGAAATTCCTCGGAGGAGGTGTTTGCAAGACCTCATTGGGCGGTGGACATGGGAATGGGAATGACGGACCCTCGCAATAGAACAATAATCCCCCATAATGGGGATGGTTATCATGATTGTCGCATGCTGCATGTGGAAGTATCGCGTATGAGGGTAAAATGATTGTTGCTCTTATTGTTGGTGTTCTTATTAGTTGTTGTCGTCGTCCCCCCGGCGACCCACCCGCGGCCCACCCGCGACCCACTTGCGACCCACCGACGACCTATCCCGCGATCCACCCCGCGACCCACCCGCGACCCACTTGCGAACTACCCCGCGACCCACCCGCGAACTACCCGTGACCCACCCGCGACCCACCCCGCGACCCACCCGCGACCCACCCCGCGACCCACCCGCGACCCACCCGCGACCCACCCGCGACCCATCTGCGACCTATCCCTCGACCCACGTGCGACCCACCCGCGACCGATCCACATTGGTTTGGAGAAAAAATTCGGCGCCCGCGGCGGGCTCGTTGTTAATTTTGTTAACTTTTGGCGCCTGCGGCTGGCTTCCCCAGAGTCTCGCAGACTGCCGACGTCCCCAACGCCCCCTCACTCTTATCCGTATCTGCGGGGTGCTACGATTATTTATTGTGTGGCTTGTCCTCCGTCTCTATATCATCTTTCCCCTTGTATATCAAGATATACATACATATTCATGTACACCGTCATCTCGCCATTGCCGTTCGTTGTGCTTATATCCGAGTTTCGGAGGTGCACGTGCGGGCAAGGCGGAGCTGAGTGGGCGGGCGAGTGGAATGACCCCGACGTTGTTAGGGTGATTCGGATGCGGTGGGCCGCCTATCCGCCCGCGGTGGGCGCGCGTTGGCCCGGGGTGTCCCGCCGTGGTGTCCTGTGGTGCTTCGTTGGTGGCCCGTTGGTGTCCCGTCGGTGTTCCGTCGGCGGTGGGCGGGCGGTGGCCGGCGGTGGCCCGCCTTGGCATCGATGGTGAAGTCAATAGTGAGATCGGTTGTGAGGTCGCTAGAATGAGATAGATTTGGAGATCAAAAGTGAGATCGGTTGTGACGTTGGTTGTGTGAGCGACACTGGGATCGATCGTGGAATCGATGGAGGAATCGTTGGTGAGATCGATCGTGAGGTCGAAAGCGATATTGATAGTGATAACGGTATTGGCATTGCATCGCAGCGCAACATCGTCATCATGCGTTGTCGCTAACACGAGGGCGCGTCGCCAGTGTCGTCATCATCGCACCCACCGCGTTTACAAGCCGTTGGTTATTTGCGCCCCACCTGCCAACCTTCTTATCCCCGAAAGGTGGTCGTACAGGTATGCACGTGCATGTACACACATTTGAATAACGTGCACACATGTAGCCCATAGGCTCAACGGCGTTCTCTCTCAACCCTGCTTCCTGCTATATGATAAGTATCCTGCATTATGTATGTTATCTTGTATCCGTGTGACCACACAGGGACCTGATTACGTGGTCTCAGCAATTAATTCGAAAACTCGGGAATTTTACAACGCAGGGAACTTCGGGCCCAGAACAATGACCGGGAACTGGCCGCCCACCGACATCGGGTTAGAATTTGCAACCGGGCACCCGGGAACCCAGAACGGGAAGAAGCCGCAGTTTCGGAAGGTTTTGGGGAATGACTCGATACGGTCAGGCCGCATCTGCTCCCAAAGAGGCTCATAACTGCCTGTGGGAGTCTGAGGCAACGTCAGAATTCTTGTCTAAAGAGCCTTCTTGTCTACCAAGACTGCCGATCCTCCAGGATCAACCTTGTGTTCTAGAGATCCAGTTAATGCGCTGATGATGAGATGGATGCATGATGCTGCTGATGATGATGATGATGATGATGATGATGATGATGATGATGATGATGATGATGATGATGATGATGATGATGCTGATGATGATGTGATGATGATGATGATGATGATGATGGTGATGGTGATGGTGATGGTGATGGTGATGTGTGATGGTGATGATGGTGATGGTGATGGTGATGATGTGATTGATGATGATGATGATGATGATGATGCTGATGCTGATGCTGGTGCTGATGCTGATGATGATGATGATGATGATGATGATGATGCTGCTGATGATGATGATGATGATGATGATGATGATGATGATGATGATGATGATGATGATGATGATGATGATGATGATGATGATGATAATCAGTAGATGGATCGGAATGTTTCGCAGGGAGGGTTCGACCACTTCCCCACAAGGCTCAGCTCAAGATAGGAGGCGGCAAGTGCGTTCCGTGCGCAGCAAGTGTCGTCGACGACCGCGGCAAGCAGTGCTCGCACGCGCAGTGGAGCGCAGCGGCCACGCCGCGGCTTGCTGGCAGTGCGGAAATGGAGCTGCTGGCGTGTGCCGGCCTGGCTGCGCTGGCCGCCGCTGCAGCAGTGGGCGTGGTGCGCGGCGGCATGCGGGCCACGCGCTCGGGCAGCGTGCAGCCACTGCTGGCGCCAGGGGAGCTCCAGTAGTTCTGGCCACGGCCTGTGGGTGTGGTGGCCGCGGCCTAGCTCAGAGGGCGGCGGAGAGGCGGGCCGCGGCGCCACACGTTTGTGAGTGAGCATTTGCTGTTAGCACGGGTTCTCGTTCTCCTGCTCCTCGCAGGCGCATGTGCCAGAGATTGGGATGCGCGCATCTGTTCGAAAAGATAGAGGTGGGGGGGGGCCTCTCACGGGGCACCTTCGAGAGTTACCGAGGCGTAGCTCTTCGGATTCGACCGCCCAGGTCGCTCGCCCCTCACAGAAGCTGCCTCAGGCCACGGGCTGCTGCCGAAACCGGACCGCCTCGCAGTGGTCTTGCCACGGCACACGGGCACACCCGTCCCAAGGTTTCCCGACACCTGTCAGGGTTGGGACTTGGGCGTCGCGTAATGGGAGGGCGATCAACGGGTGGAGAGCGAGGGCTGCAGAAGTGGAGCCCTTCAGGGCCCCTGAGGGGGCCCTTTGGGGCCCAGCATGGGGCTTATAGGGCTCGAACAGTGCAGCTTCCCGCCCCCCCCCCTTCATCGCCCCCTCATGAGGCGACGCCCATGGGACGCTCATGCGTGGCCATGAGAGTCGTGCACGAACGGGAGATTCTCGAGTGATCGTGCATCGAAGGGGAGGGGCAGGAAGAGGGACGCAGGATCATCGAGATCAAAAGAACTCCAAACCCCAATAACACGATGAAAACGTGGCCCCACTTAGGTCCTCGTTTTCGCATTCGGAATCATGAGTTTGTGTGATTTGGTTTGGTACACCTCAGGAACGATCTCCTATCCCTAATGGTTTTGCCCTCCTGACTAGGTCCCCTCCTGAAGGGTGATGGGGTAATTTTACGTGTTGCTTTTCACAGAGGGTAAACAATCGAAACGAATGACCGGGCCAGCCTCTGCCCTGATACATTCATGAGGCAGATGGGGTCATCCTCGCATTCTGCATCTCGTCGCCAATCCCGCTTCCATTTTCCTTCCGACAGAGGGCCCAGCCAATGAGAAACCGTCTTGCCAGCAGGTGCCCCACGGATGTCTCTTACCTGCCAGTGACCCGCAGGGCCTACATGAGTTTTGGGGTACCGCAGGGAGCTCCAAGCACGACAACAAACGTGCCCCTAAAATTCTATGATGGATGCGGATTGTCGTATGTGTCTGCTGTATTCCCCTTCTGGTCCTTCCTGCCTGGTCCTCGTTCTCGTCCCTCACGCCCTGGCTGGCTCGCCCGCGAACCCTTCGGCCGACCGGCGGCGCGAGCCAAGGCTGGAAGTGCCCCTTCGACGGAGAGGTCTTGCTCCGATGTGTAGCACTTGCCGCAAGTAGTCTGTCATGGACGTTCGGGGAGGACACATGAGGGAGAGAATGGTAAGGAGGATGCTGGACAGAGCCATGGGAAGAAAGAGGATGCGGAGGAGGAGGAGGAGGAGGAGGAGGAGGAGGAGGAGGAGGAGGAGGAGGAGGAGGGGGAGAAGGAGGAGGAGAAGGAGGATGAGCAAGAAGAGGCAGGTGAGCAGGATAAGCAGCGCGCGGCAGGACGAGACGGGAGTAGTCATCCGGGGAGGGGAGTAGGTAGGAGGATTGGTGAAGGAAGTGGAGGGCGGGAAGTGAAGCGTAGTGGCGGAGAGGGGTGGAGGGTGATGTAGGACACTCACAGATAGCAGGGTGGGGGAGTATTGCAAAGAGGAGCAGCAGAAGGAGGAGGAGGAGGAGGAGGAGCAGGAGGAGGAGCAGAAGGAGCCGGAGGAGGGAAAGACGACCAAAAGGACGAGAACAGGGGAGAAGATAGGGAGAGGACTGAGTAGGAGGAGGAGGAGGAGGTGGATTATGACATGCGAGGACATTGGGATGCGCCGTGATAAGGATGAGGATGACGACAAGGAGCAGGAGGAGCAGGAGGACGAGGGTGGGACGCAGGAGAGGGGGAGGGGGAGGGGGAGGGGGAGGAGGAGGAGGAGGAGGAGGAGGAGGAGGAGGAGGAGGAGGAGGAGGAGGAGGAATGCGAAGGCACGGGAAGGGTGGGGGGGGCGGAGGTGGAGCAGGAGGAGCAGGTGCCGCATGGGCAGGGGGAGGGGGCAGGAACGGAGAGCGAGGGTGACGGGGGGGAGCAGCTACGAAAGCGACGGGGCGGGGGCGAGCGCCACCTCGGGACACCCATGATGCTCGCACCTGGCATCGCTCGGACGTGTGCATTTGTTCTCGACGGGGGCCATCGAGGAACACCTGGGATAATCGAGGAACAAAAAACCACGCACGACATCGAACCATGAACATGGAGTGGACGTCCGAGCGATGGCAAGTGCACGAGCAGCACGACAGAGAGCTGTCGCCCCGACGTGACAGCTGCGCGCGGTACCAGCAGCACAACAGGGAGCAGCACATCGGACATCAGCAACTCCACGTTGGCATCTGCGAGTGGGACCAGAGTACACCAGGAAACAGTACGACAGGCACCAGACACAGCACGACAGAAAACAGCAGATCTACGTTGATAATTGCGACTGGGCTCAATAGCGCAGCAGTGAGCAGCCCAACTGAAAGCGCGAGTTCTACGTTGACATCTGCGAGTGGGACCAACGCATGGCAATGCGCAGCACGATCAGTACCAGCAGCAACACGGCAGTATGCAGCAAATCTGCGTTGACACTTGCGAGTAGGACCAGCAGCGCAGCAGGGAGCAGCGCAGCTGCAAGCATCAGCTCTACGTTGACGTTCGCGAGTGGGACTAGCACCACAACGCAGTGCAGCACGACCAGCAGCAGGAGCAGCACAACCGATAACAGCACGTCTGCGAGTGGGACCAGCGGCACATCCGAGAGCAGCTCAACCAGTACCAGGCGCAGCGCGACTGACAACAGCAAACCTACGTTCACAACCGCAATGGAAGCCAGCAGCACGGTACGGAGCAGCGCAACAGACAGCCGCAGCAGCATCAGCTCTTCGTCGACATCCGCGAGTGGGACCAGTAGCATGGCAGGGAGCAGCTCGACTGGACAGGCGCCTGGCCACGCTGGGCAGCCGCGCTGTTTGGCCTCGGCTCGTCGCTCCCAGCCTCCTGGACAAGCAGTGCAGATACGGTGATACACTGGTAGCCCTTCCAATGGACCGTGACGCGTGTCGTCTGCAATGTTTACGTTCACCGATTCGCTTGCCAGTGGAGCTTCGCGCTGCGAGCTGGCGACTGTCGTCCTTCCCTTCTCCCCTCCCTCCCGCTCCCTTGCTCCGCCTCCCTCCTCTCTCCTGCCGTTGGGAGTGAATTGCTTGGCCGTCGAGGCCGTTCAGTACGGGTCTGCCGCACACAGTTTGGCAGGCCAGGGGTTGATACGTTTTAGGGCTCATTCGTATTCTTCGCCATCTGGGTTTTCTTTTCTCATCCTCCTACTCCTCTACCGCCCACCCAGGCTATGATTGTCACATGTCAGAGTGAGGGGGGCGAACGGTCATGCATTGTCCCTAGATGCGTCGTTGAAGTGGGCTTCTGCGCTAGGAATTGCTCTTGTTGTTATTGTTGTTGGTGTTGTTGTGGCTGCTGTTGATGTTGCTGTTGCCAAGTTGTTGTTGTTGCTGTTGTTGTTGCTGTTGTCGTCGCCGTTGTTGATGCTTTTGTTGTTGAGCTTTCTTTTTGGTAGAATAACTATAATTGGTCCCCCTCTCTGGTAACCGTTGTGCTGTTCAACCAGAATGTTTTTTCCCCGGGAATCGCACCTGGTGTTGTTCAAAGGAAAGTGAGGTGTCACCAAACTATGCCCTCGCCCCTCGGCTTACAACAACAGCAACACGAATTTGAACACTGTTCGCTCTCATCTGCGCGAGTGCCACTCAACGCGTATATACCCGACCCTCGATACCCGCCCTCTTGATCTTCGATCGTGCCCCTTGGGTCGGGCGAAGGGAACTATGCACATGCACCGATCCTGGCAAGGCCCATCCTTGACCCAGGATCGGTGCACATACCTTCCTAGCCAAGGTAGGAGGGCGTATGCACCGATCCTGGGCTCAGGATGGGCCTGGCCATAATCGGTGTATGTGCATAGTTCTCTTTCCTCTGTTGGGGGGAAACCTTTTCACCGAAGACGCGGGGGTGAAGGGGGGAAGGAGCGCGGCCAGGTCGACCCCACGCTCGTCGTGGGCAGCTCCTCCGCCAAGGAGGCGGCCACCGGCCCGACGCCGAAGCCCGCGGGCGGCAAGGAGGAGGACAGGCCCGACCCGGGGCCGGAGAAGGTGCCCGTGGGGCAGGCCCCGCGGCCGCTGCTTGCCCCCGCCCCCTATCCTGCAGGGGGAGGAGGCGAAGGAGGAGGAGGAGGAGGAGGAGGAGGAGGAGGAGGAGGAGGAGGAGGAGGAGGAGGGGAGGAGGAGGAGGAGGAGGAGGAGGAGGAAGAGGAGGAGGAGAAGGAGGAGGAGGAGGAGGAGGAGAAGGAGGAGGAGGAGGAGGCGTGAGCTTCCGACAGTGGCGCATCGGGTGGCTCGCCCCCCCCATTGTGGCGGACGGGCACACCAGGCGATCGTGAGGTTGGCTCAGGACTCCATCTGTTGGGTGCGTTCGAGGAGGAGGAGGAGCATGAGGAGGGGAAGGAGGAGGTGCCAGGTCCGCTCGCAGTCTGACGTCCGATCGCTCGCTGCAGGCTCATGGAATGGCTTGACTGGGCTGGCCCATGCCCACGACGTCGAGCGGCTGGCGCTGGAAGAGGGTGCCGTTCGGAGGTTCCTCGGGCCCAGGTTGTGTATCGACGGCTGTAGATTCAAGAACATTCAGAAGGGAAAGAAACACACAGACACAATTAATCGTCGACCCCCAGGAAAATATAGGAAAATATTGGAAGTGGGGGGGAAAACAGAAATCCAGAAAATATGAGAAACAATTGGGGAATCTTTTTATGTGTGTGTATTTATTTGTGTGTCCTGGGGCACCTTCGAACATGTCCTTATATGCGGCACGTGCAGGCTGGGTAGTTGTGGCCATGGACGACTCCAGTATGCCTCCAGGTTGCGCGGTCGGACCCCTCC